GTTGTTATAATGAAATGTTTGGGGATCAACTTTCTGCAAATTTTTAGAATATTTTCAACCCAAGCTTGGTTGAATCCACAGTTCCAAAACCCATGGATACCAAGGGCCGACTTTATATCATTCACTCATTCACTGTATATCAGACACTCTTCTAAACACTGAGGATGTCACAGTGAACAAAACTGACAAAATTTGTGCCCTCCTGGGCGGGACCCGCTCGCGCCCTGATGCTCATCCTCCTTCCAGCAGCCACAACCCTGAGACACGATGGTGAAGGTCGGAGTGAACGGGTGAGTGAGGGCGCAGCAGGTCCTGCCCTGCCTCAGCCTCTGCAAGCGCTGGGGGCCGTGGGGGATGGTCGGGCCCCCCCACCCCCAAGGAGAGCTCAAGGTCAGAGCTCGACCTCAGAGGGCCTCTGTCCCCCACTTCCCACTGGTTGCACCACCTCCGCCCCAGAGGAGCAGGAGAGCCCTCCAGTCTGGGCCTTGGACCATCCCTGAGCCCCCTCGCGGGGGCTTTTTTCTCTCCTTTCGCGCCCTGTGGGGTCACGTGCTGGGAGGAAGCCCCCTCCCCCTCCTTGGCCCCACCTGGCCGAGCCGCGGGGATGCAGCAGGCGCAGCTCGCCGCCGAGCGGGCTCCTCTGCGGTCACCTCGCCGCCATGTTGCAATTGGGAAGGAAATGAATGAATCGCCGTTAGGAAACCTCCCTTACCTTCAGTCCTCCTCCCTCCCTGGCGATGACTAACCCTCCTGCCTCGGTGGGGTGGAGCCGCCTTTATTCGGTAAACCTGATGAGGCAAGGCTTCCCCGAGCTGCTCTCCAAAGAGCTGGACCTCAGCACTCGGTCCACATTCGCCCTAAACCATCCTTGACCTGCCCGCAGAGGTGCCCTTGGAGAGGGTGCTTGGCCCAGCTGATTCTCTGGCGAATCAGAAACGTGGTTTGGGGGGCCTTTTGTGTCCCTTTTTCTCTTTTTCGAGGGAGGTGTGGTAGCTGTGGCTTAGAGCCATGCGAGGGCAGCTGAGTCATGGTAGCTAGAAATTTTCCGCCATAAAATGGCTCCTTGTAGCGCCAGCCCCTCTCTTCACCAGCTCCCCTCCAAACGCCTCTCGCCCACGGCTGGAGCGCACACAACCCTAAGGCCCAGGCTGTAAAGGTCACTGGGAGGATTGGGTGTCTGAGAGCTTTGGGAACCCTGCCCTTCTCCCCATTCCATCTTCCGGAAACCAGATCCGGACTACCCCAATCTGGGGTTAAATATAGCACCTGACCTTTCTGCGCTGGGGGCCTGGCTGCCGCTATCTCACCTCCTTCCCGGCATATACACATCTGTGGCTCCTACTGCCTGATTTCTGCAGGAGCTAGGAAGGACAGGTAGCTTAGCAACTAGAACCCGGTTCTTAGGGGTTGAAACCGCTCCTCCCTTTTGTAGGAGGGGCTTAGAGAAGAGGGGGGCTTCCCCCCCATCCAGTTAACTTCCGACCTTTACTCTTGCCCTTTGAGCTTGGTGATGCTGAGTATACAGGTCTTTGCTCCGTAGGGGTGTGGCCTGAAGCTGGGCAGATAGGAGCCAGCATTGCCAGGGCACAGAGAGTGGGGGTGATGGATGCATGTGCCAGCCTGTGGGTGGCAGTAGGAGGGCCCTGCACTGTTGCTCACAAGATTTCATTGCCTGGCGGGAAGGGGGGGGTGTCCATGGGGAGAGGACATTTGTAAGACTTTAAACCAGGGGTCCTCAAACTTTTTAAACAGGGGGCCAGTTCACTGTCCCTCAGACCGTTGGAGGGCTGGACTATAGTTTAAAAAAAAAAAAACTGAACAAATTCCTATGCACACTGCACATATCTTATTTTGAAGTAAAGAAACAAAACGGGAACAAATACAATATTTGTACGTGCATGTGGCCCGCGGGCCGTAGTTTGAGGACCCCTGCTTTAAACAATGAAGAGAAGTAGAAATTAAAGATACTCTGAACATTCTAAAACATTTATTTCAGAGGACTAGGGGTTGAGCACGTTTTGGGGCCTAATCACCTCTTGGACAAGATAGGAAAGCCTTTACTTTGTGGCCATGCTGTGGAGTCAGGGTGGCTGGCAGGATTGCCAGAGGAAGGTAAATTAGACCTTCTGGGGCTTTCTGGTGGCAGGAAAGCACTGTCTTCCTTTTGAAAGAGGACGAGTGGGCCACGGGCGACTTACAGGAGAATTCTCCGCTCCCTCCTCCTCATGCCTTCTCACCTCTTCATCCCTCAGATTTGGCCGCATTGGGCGCCTGGTCACCAGGGCTGCTTTTAACTCTGGCAAAGTGGATATTGTCGCCATCAATGACCCCTTCATTGACCTCAACTACATGGTGAGTGTTGCCTGTACGGCTGGGGTGGGAAGCAGAGGCTGGTGGACGTGCAGCTCCTTGAAGCCCGCACTTGCCCCTCCAGGTCTACATGTTCCAGTATGACTCTACTCATGGCAAGTTCAAAGGCACGGTCAAGGCTGAGAACGGGAAGCTGGTCATCAACGGGAAGTCCATCTCCATCTTCCAGGAGTGAGTGTGGAAGAACAGTAATAAGTTTGCTTTGGGGGAGGTGCTAGGATGGGGTGACCACCTTGGGTACATGGTACTCCTGTCCCTGAGCTTTGTCCCGTCTGCCCTTGTAGGCGAGATCCCGCCAACATCAAATGGGGTGATGCTGGTGCCGAGTATGTTGTGGAGTCCACCGGTGTCTTCACTACCATGGAGAAGGCTGGGGTGAGTGGCAGGGAGGCTACAGATGGAGTTGGCATCATAAGAAGACCGGGGAGGGTTCGGGGTGGGGCGGGGAACTGTCTTAGACCGAGAAAGGTTCAGTGGGAAGCAGAGGCTGCTGGATATGCAGCCCCTTGTAACGCCTCCTCTGCTGCAGGCTCACTTGAAGGGCGGAGCCAAGAGGGTCATCATCTCTGCCCCTTCTGCGGATGCCCCCATGTTTGTGATGGGTGTGAACCATGACAAGTATGACAACTCCCTCAAGATTGTCAGGTGAGCGTGGCAGGAGGGCGTGGAGATGTGGTTGGGTAGTGAATGCTGCGGTTAGAGGAGGGTCACCTTTGCCCCTGACTGGCCTGCCTCTTTTCAGCAATGCCTCCTGCACCACCAACTGCTTGGCCCCCCTGGCCAAGGTCATCCACGACAACTTTGGCATCGTGGAGGGACTCATGGTAAGAGTGATGGGGAAAGTGACTTCTCACCCAGTATTGGGGTGGGGGGCTGGGGATGGAGAAGGCTGTGGAGAATTTGGGTTCCCGTGCATTAGCTCGGGTCACTGTATCCCTTTATTTCCCCTAAACTTGAGGAGGGAGGTTGCAGGGTGGGTGGTGAGCACTGTGCAGGGCCCTCACTCTCCTCCATGTTTCCAGACCACAGTCCACGCCATCACCGCCACCCAGAAGACCGTGGATGGCCCCTCTGGGAAGCTGTGGCGTGATGGCCGAGGGGCTGCCCAGAACATCATCCCTGCTTCTACTGGCGCTGCCAAGGCTGTGGGCAAGGTCATCCCTGAGCTGAATGGGTGAGACTTTTTGCTGCTTTTCTGGACTGGAGCCTGGGGGAACCAGGAGCTGGTACTGACCCCACTTCCCTGTGCCTACAGGAAGCTCACTGGCATGGCCTTCCGCGTCCCCACCCCCAATGTGTCGGTGGTGGATCTGACTTGCCGTCTGGAGAAAGCTGTGAGTGTGGGCTGGAGCGGCTGGGGCCTGGGGGCTGGTCTCAGTAGAATGGTGGCAATACTGGAACCTGAATAACCATATCGTTTCTTTACCTTGTTAGGCCAAATACGATGATATCAAGAAGGTAGTGAAGCAGGCATCAGAGGGCCCCCTCAAGGGCATCCTGGGCTATACTGAGGACCAGGTACTGATAGGGCCGGGAGCTTGGAGTCCACAGCCCTGCTGACCAAGACTGGGTTCCCATACGTGGCCTTCTTTCCTCAGGTGGTCTCCTGCGACTTTAACAGTGACACCCACTCCTCCACCTTTGATGCTGGGGCTGGCATTGCCCTCAATGACCACTTTGTCAAGCTTGTTTCCTGGTATGTGGCTGGGGGCAGACAATGCTCAAAAAACTGATTATGGGTCTGGCGCCCTCTAGTGCCTGGCTCGGAAAAAATAACACCTCACCCTCCTCCCCTTCCAGGTATGACAATGAATTCGGCTACAGCAACAGGGTGGTGGACCTTATGGTCCACATGGCCTCCAAGGAGTAAGAGCCCCCTGGACCACCAGCCCCAGCGAGAGGAAGAGAGGCCCTCCGCTGCTGGGGAGTCCCTGCCCCAGATCGAACCCCTGACACACTGAGAATCTCCTGACCACCGTTTCCATCCCAGACCCCCTGGAGAAGGGGAGGGGCCTAGGGAGCCCTGCTTTGTCGTGCACCATCAATAAAGTTCACTGCACCCAGCCAACTCTGCGTATTTATCTTATTTCAGGGTCTGGGTGAAGTGGAAGGAACCGGGGCTGGTACTGAGGTGAAACAGCTCTTGTTCAGAGGAGCAAAGGGTCTTGCTCACCCCAACCAGGCACAGCCTCGGTGGTGGATTGGGAGCTGGTGTGACTGAAGCATCCCTCGCCCCCTTACCAAGTGTGTGCCCAGGCTCACTGGGGAGGGACATCTATTCTCTCTGTTTCCCCTCCAAGGCCTCTGGGTGCTATATCCAGCACCCCCCTTGGAGGACCAGACCTTTTCCTTGCCATACTCCAGCCCGACCTGTTAGAACCTCACCCGATACACAGTAAGGACCCTTGACTAAATCGGGGAAGGGTGGGTGAGGCACGTGGACACAGTGCCAGCCACCTGGGAGACCCTGGTTTTGCCACGTGAGGCTTACTTAGGGCAAGTCACTTAGAACTGAATAACCATCAGGTGCCTCTGCACCTGCTGTTGATGAACTGGCGATGAAACGAGCACATACTTCGCAGGATTGTGCAGCTACCACCAGAAAGGGATTCAGTCAGTGACGCCAGGCATTCAATAAATACTCCAGTTTCATTCTTAATAAAGATTCCATTCACATGTCAGCTCGGCACAGCTCCCCGGGCCGTTAGCGAAGGCCTCAATCCCGTCTCCCAGTTCCTCCAAGGCTTTCCGAGTGCAGACATCTTCCTCGGCCTGTCGGTCTGTGTGACAGACACGGAGGAGGCACATCCGCTGAGCCTGACACCGAGACCCTGAGCACGCACACACCTGTGCACACACATCGGTAGCTTCACCTTTCTGTCACTCAGCAGTGGCTGGAGAGCTTCCATCCTCCATGATACCGCACCCAGTCAGACCCAGAAGCCACTACACAAGGGGCACCGAGACCCCTTCAAAATGGCATTTCCGTGAGGGAGGGGTCATGCCACGTCCTTACTGTCCACGGGCAGGTGACCGGAGCACTTGGACAATGGAGGGAGGACTTGGCGCCCTGTCCGGCCACACAGAGGGACCCCTCTCCCACTGCCTGTGTTGCACACGCCCGGGACGTCCAGCCTGACCCACTCGTACCAGTGCCCAGGCCAGTTAGCACCAGGACGGAATCAGATGTGAGCTGGCACGAGGCCACGGGGGTCGGGGGGGGTCTGACTATCACATTCCTTATTCAGTGGAGAAGTTGTGGGGCCACAGTCGCACTGGCAGCATTTTAAAGATGGGGAGGAGCAGACGCCCACGCGTGAGGCCAGGAGAGCCCCAGCTGTGGCAGGAGTCGCCTGGGAAGGGCAGGCCAAGCCTTGCTCCAGACCCTAGAACCTGGAGAGGCCACGGATGGAGGGAGGAAGCCCGAGGGAGGAGCGGCCCTGTCCCGGGGCCAGGCTTGGTGCAGCCTGGACAAAGGAAGTTCCCTTCTGCGAACCCCGACTCTGCGAGGAGGAGATGCGAGGAGGTGTGTTCCCATGGGGGGGACCAGAGGCAGGTCCCTATCTCAGGGAGCTATCAGATGAGACGTCTCGATCGGAGTCCTCAGTCTCGCTAGGCGGCGGCAGCGGGTCGCTAAGCGGGACCGCAGGGAAAGCAGGAGACTTTCTAGAAAAGAACACCAGTTGTCACCTTGGGGCAGGCAGGACCCTGGCGAGGCTGGCACTCCCCCCTCGGCCTCATTCTCTGGCGAATGGCACCTCCGCCAGGGCAGGAGGACCACGGAGAGGGTGGGTGCCGGGCGAGCGAGGGGGGAGGGGACCAATGGGGGAGCCGGCCCTTCTTTATCTTGAGGATTTGGGGAGGCTCAAGGTTCAGAAATACTTGAAGTAAAAGATGCGACCTGGGCCGAGTGCACTGACTGGGTGGCCTCCGCTTTCTGTCTGTCTGTAGAACTTTTGTGACGTTTTTTCCTTTTTTGTACTAACATGATCAAATGCACAAAGATGGCCTTAACTCTCGGTAAAAATCTACCTCTCACCCCTTCTGTTCCTGGTCAGTTTTTAGCTGCCTCTCACCAGGCAACCATCAGAGTGGGTGGCATTGGGAGATTTCAGCTGCCCAGCCACGAATGGACATCCACTGGGCCACATACCCGGTGACCTCCACTGAGAGCCCACAGCCAGATGTGAGTCACCGTGAGGGTCTTTAGGGCTTGCCCGCCAAGGGGCTCGGTCCACGCACCCTTGGAGGAAGCAGGAAGGAAGGTGGGAGCGCCCTATGCTCTGGGGGAGGCCCTCACCGGTCCCCAGACTGGGTGATGAGCCGGCGGCAGGTCTCCATCTGCACATCCAGGCCCCGCTTCATGCTGCACATCTCCATGTACTCATGCAGGTGCCGGTTCATATCGTTCTTGGCCGTGGCGAGCTCCAGCTGTGGCAGGGACAGGCAGGGCCGTCAGGTCAGCAGGGACCCTGCTCCCAACCCCCAGGAAGCAAATGCGCCAAGAGCACCACGGGACAGGGGGTCCAGGGAGCTTAGCTGAGGGCTCAGATTTAAAAATAGCTGTAACCGGTTTGGCTCAGTGGATAGAGCATCGGCCTGCGGACTGAAAGGTCCCGGGTTCGGTTCCGGTCAAGGGCATGTACCTTGGTTGCGGGCACATCCCCAGTGGGGGTGTGCAGGAGGCAGCTGATCGATGTTTCTCTCTCATCGATGTTTCTAACTCTCTGTTCCTCTCCCTTCCTCTCTGTAAAACATCAATAAAATACATTTAAAATAAAAATAAAAATAAATCAGCCCTGGACGGCTTTGCTCAGTGGATAGAGCGTCAGCCTGCGAACTGAAAGGTCCCAGGGTCGACTCCGGTTAAGGATACATGCCCGGATTGTGGGCTCGATCCCCCGTGGGGGACTTGCGGGAGGCAGCCAATCAATGATGCTCTCTCATCATGGATGTTTCTATCTTTCTCTCCCTCTTCCTTCCTCTCTGAAATCAATAAAAGTATTAAAAAATATAAATAAATCAGACCCAGCCAACATGGCTCAGTGGTTGAGCATCGACCTATGAATCAGGAGGTCACGGTTCCATTCCTGGGTTGCGGGCTCAATCCCTTGTGGGGAGCATGCAAGAGGCAGCCGATCAATGATTCTCTCTCATCATTGATGATTCTATCTCTCCCTCTCCCTTCTCGGAAATCAATAAAAATATATTTTAAAATAAAAATAAATTTGATCAAGGCGGAAGGCACTCAATATACTGTCATTCCTTCTAGTTTTTCAGACAGTCTTTGCCTACAGAGGAATGCGAAGGCATCTGCCCCAGGCTGCACTCTCCCCAGGCTGGCGGGAGCCTGAGGAAAGAATGTTCACCAGCAGGAGGGAGAGGAGGGAAATTCCTGAGAGGGGGGAGGGAGGGGACTATCTGTAGGTGGCCTTACTCTACGCCTGGGGTTCCTGCATGGCCTGGCTCATCCCTCCCTCCCCACAACGCTGTCTGTGTCCCTCACTAAATCGGGAACTCCTGTAAGGGCGGGGCCACAGCCTGACTCATCTCCTCAGGTGCATGGCAGGTACCCGGATGGGAAATGAATTAACTGTGAAGTATCTACAAGACTCCTGCAGAGAGGACACCTGTCCACACTGGTGAAAAGGGTTCAATTCTCTTACCATCCATTTTCTCATTATTTTCTATTTTCTATTTATTTATTTACTTTTATCCTCCCCTGAGATTTTTATTTTATTTTACTTATTTTTTTATTTTTTTTAATGTATTTTCTTGATTTTTTACAGAGAGGAAGTGAGAGGGATAGAGAGCCAGAAACATCAATGAGAGAGAAACATCGATCAGCTGCCTCCTGCACGCCCCCCACTGGGGACGTGCCCGCAACCCAGGCATATGCCCTTAACCGGAATCGAACCCGGGACCCTTGAGTCTGCAGGCCGACGCTCTATCCACTGAGCCAAACCAGTTCTGGCTAGTTTACTTATTGATTTGAGAGAGAGAGAGAGAGAGAGAGATCCAGTTGTTGTTCTTACTTATGCACTCATTGGTTGATTTCTGTATGTGCCCTGACCAGGGATCAAACCTGCAACCTTAGGGTATTGGGACATGGCTCTAACCAACTAAGCCACCAGCCCGGGCCACTTTTACTTTATTTTCTCACTTGTAAGCCATGTCAGGGACTAACAGAAAGACCTGCTGCCAATACTGAACATCCTTCTGGTGTAAAATGTACCCCAATGGAAGAAATGTTACATGTGAAAAAGCGTGGGGCTCCGAGTCCAGGAAATACGGCCTCCCTCCCAGAGCCGGATGCTGCGCCACAGGCAGAGCTGAGAGGTGGTGCAGAGGCGTAAAATCTGGGCCAGAGACAATCAGCTGCCTCTCTTTGTTTGGGGTACAAAGAGCAGGGCCTGAAGCAAGACAGAAAGAAACTGCCTGGAGGTCATTTGCTTGACTGCCTGAGAGCAAAGAGAAAGGGCAGGAACGCAGCATGAATAATGTGACCGAGTGAATAATGTGACCGGGCAGAGGAAACCACCCATAACTAATCTGAGCTGGACAGAGGGCGGGAACTCGAAGAAGAAGTAAGTGGGTCACAGGCCGATGCAAGAGATGGTCAGGACGGTGACCTGGATGAGAGGGTGGCCTGATGGGTGTGGCTGGAGCCGCCTTGGTTCCAGAGCTGGGGTTCCAGCTGGGGTCCTGCGAGCCAGAGGAGCAGGATGTGCTGACTGCTCCCGCCAGGGAGGGGTAGGATCGCCTGCTCTCTTCAGGGTGTGGGCAAAAGCAGGTTTACAGTCATTCTATGAAAGGTAATACAGTAACAACACAAGGATAAACTGTTTCTCATACTCACAACTGTAAACCCACTTTTGCCCACCTATACATTGTATCACCAACATACATTCTATCACAATACAAGGCTAGAACTGCCACCTGTTGTCGCTACATGTTTGTACATCCCCCGTAATTCACACAATTCAAGCAGAGATGAGCCCAGTTTAGGAGAAATCCACAACAACCAACGCTGAGACTCCGACTCCTGGGAAAGCGAGGGGTGGGCTAAGGCTGGGAACACGTGGA